AGATATGGCACAGGAGGGCCCGGAATTGCAAAGGAAGTTCGGCATGTATGCAGAAACAAAGAGAAGCGTGTGGGCAAAAAAGAAAGCAGAACAAGAACTGCACATTTGGAATTCCAAGCACTGGCATAGGGCAAATGCTCGCGGTAGAAATTTTTTGGTAGGTTTACATGATTTACATGGTTGATCGAAATCTGTTCGTTCTGCTGTTCTGCTTTTTTGGTCGCAACACTCTACGTCACAAACAATATACAAAAGAAAGACTACGAACATACTGCGTCAATACAAGCTTGAGAAATCCCAAGCATGTGTTTTCGGAAGAATATGTTCTCCCGATGTACATTTGTGCGATCGAATCAAAGCAAGTTTTGCCGCTCGATTAGAATGGTTTTCCATGTCGTGGAAAAGTTTGCATGTTTCCGAAATCTTTGCTTCGCATGAAAGCATGCATGTATGCGTGCTTTTACATGTTGTGCATGCATGTTTGTATGCATATATATGTATGCATGTAACTAAGTAGAGGCAAGCAGGTAAGTATGTAAGTACATGGGGGAAGTAAGTAGATGAGTAAGTACTTATGTATGCATGTATTTTTGCATGCAGGTATGCCTGTTTGGTGTGTGCTGCCGTGACCTCTATAGGCTCTTAATTATGTGGACTTGTTGTTGCATAGCAGGCTTTAGACAGAGCATTGGGGTTCTTCTGTTTATGGGAATATAGATCCTATATATGTGGTAATATGCTGCCATATAGAAGCTATTGCCCGAGAAGAGCTGGTGATAGTGTAAGATTTAAGCTTCTACATAAAGTAAGGAGAGTCCTACTCAGGTTATACAGGTAGTTCCAGGTAGGCCCCCCCCCCTGTCTCGTTCACGTTTGTGATTTGTCAGGATGGTCAGGTTTTTTTTCGGCGCCTTCGTGCACGACCTCCCGTGCGCCGGGATGGCGCCAGAACAGAGATGAAGCCGGCGCCGGGACGGCAGCAGGCTAAAGACCCCGCAAATGCACCGGGATGGTGCTGGGGCACACCCTCAGTGCACCGGGATGGTGCGGGGTGTCAAAGACCTCAAGCGCGCCGGGAGGGCGCCGAGGCCGACCCACAGCGCACCGGGATGGTGCCGGGTCGAGAAATCCTGAAAGTGCGCCGGGAGGGCGCCTGGGTGGACCCGCAGTGCACCGGGAGGGTGCCGGGTTCAAAAGACCTCGATCATGAGAGTGCGCCGGGAGGCGCTGAGGCCGACCCTTGGTGCACCGGGACGGTGCCGGGTGGCGACGACGCTGCAGAGAGCAGCTGGAGGGTGACGACGATGAGACGACGAAGACGATGACGCCGAGGACGACCAGAAGCCCTGACCCTAGAGTTCTGCTTTTGTGTTTCAATTTCGAGGTTGTGGACTTCAAGTTTATAACAGGATCGAAGGCTTAAAGGTTTGGGGACTGTGGCGGTGCAGGGCTTGGGTGGTAACGTTTGTATGTAGACTTTCATGACATGGAGATAGGCACAAAACCCGAAACCCATAAACTTCCCTCTGGATCCCTTTGTGTCGGAGGGGAGGAGAGGTCTGCATCCATAGCACCCGGAAGGAAGCCTCAGGGGGTGTGTATACGGGTTTCGGGTTGAGGATTGAGCGAGGGACGGGGGCAATGATTGGAGCTCTGAAGTCTGCCTACCCGATGTGGGCTCTTCGGCTATAGCTCGACAGTTGTTTCAGGGTTTGGTAATGGAAATTAAGCCCAGGCGATGTCAGAATGACATGGTTTGGGGAGTTCTGCCTACCTTATACTATATAGGGGCCGTAATGATTAGAATAGAAAACTCCGGTCCTGAGCCGGAAGCACCATCTCAGGTATAGAGTTGTTGCTGGCTACAGCACAGGTCGGCTTCCCCACGCTGGGGTGGGAGCACTGCCTAAAATTCATTGGTTTCTGGCCGCCATAAAAATAAATATTTTTTTCTAATGGCGCCAAGAACCTCCTAATTTTGGAAATTATAGAGTTCTTGGCGCCATGAAAAAAAAATATTTATTTTTATGGCGGCCATAAAAATAAATATTTTTTTTAATGGCAGCCAAAATCGTGTTATTTTCTTACAGATCCGCTGATATTGGGAGGGGGCCACTATCGCCGATTTTTTCAGGATTTTTGCACTTTTGCATCGCCGAAGCATCTTTTTCAAACATTTAGCATTTTCTAGCAGCTGCAGCTTATGGAAAGATAGGGACTGTTCAGAGATTTTACCGCCGACTAATTTCATGCCGCTGGGCGGAGATCGATTTCGGTATCCTTGGGGGGGGGGCGGACGGTAAATCAAGTTAAGTCAAGACTAGTTTTGTTCCGCGCCTTGCAGCTGTTGCAAAAGAGCCCTTCGCGGCCATCGGAGCCCAGGTCCCTGCAAAGCACCATGGCTTCGGGCTCGGTGCTTCACATGCCCCGACGAAGGCAGGAAGTGATGGGGAGATCCTTGATTCCGAAGCCTGGAAGTAACCGTTTAATTTAGCATAGCCTATAGATTCCCTCGATCTTCAGACGGGGCCTCAGTCATGGCTGCAGTTACTCCTACTTTTACTTCTACATAGTAGGAGCAATAGAAGCATTAGAATGAATAGAAGTCGTAGCCTATAGTGGTACTAGGACTCGCAAACTTTGAGGGTCATATTTATAAGTACTGCGTTTGATGTGGGATCCAGGTAGCACTAACTCGCGACTATGGCATCGGTTTACTTACTGCTACCATTGTATTTAATGAATAGTACGATTAGCTATGTGCACATGTCAACATGCTCCCGTCCTCGTCTGTCTCCTGAAAGAAGTGTCGACGTCGCCCCGGTCGTCGTCGTCTCGTCGTCGGCCCTATCGCTGCTTTCTGCAGCATTGTCGTCGAACCCGGCACCGTCCCGGTGCACTCAGAGCTCCCCCCAGCGCCGTCCCGGCACGTTTAACGGGGTCTTTCTCGACCCGGCACCATCCCGGTGCACTGCAGGTCGGCCTCGGCGCCCTCCCGGCGCACTTCGAGGTCCCGGCGCACTTCGAGGTCAGGCGCCGCCCGACGTCCTTCCGCAGGAGCTCCCGTGCGCCGGGATGGCGCCAGAGCACACATCAAGCCGTATAAAGACCCCGCAAATGCACCGGGATGGTGCTGTTAAAAACAGCCGGACAAGTCACATGTAGCACCAGTGTATAGGAGCTACCTGTAACCTGAGTATAGGATTCTTCTTTTATCTTGTTTGTCTAGAGGCTTAAATCTGACACTACCGCAGCTCTAATCGGATCCTTGCTTTTGGCTTATTGCCACATAGGATCTATGCTCTGTCTAAAGCCTGCTATGCACCAACTCCACAACACTAAGAACTAAGAGGTTCACGGGAGCATGAATCAAATTGGGATACTTACATACAAACATACACACGTACATACATATATACTTACTTACTTGCCGACTTAAGTTACTTTACCTATTTACTTCGTACCTGCTTGCTTACTTAAACTTATACTTATATATGTGTACATATGTACGTACATACATGCGTGCACACAGACACACACACACACACACACAAACACGCACACATGGAAAAACGTGCAAGCACGCGTGTTCGCCTGCGGAGAATTCAGGAACGTGCAAACTTTTCTGCGATAGGGAAAGCCATTCTAAGCCAGCGGTCAACCTCGCTTTTTTTTCGATCCCAGAAAATGAAAATCCTGAGTATTGCTTCTTCCGAAAACACTGGCATCGAAGACGTGCTTGGGCTCGCACAGTACTTTGGTCGTCTGTGGTTTGTGCTATAATTGTATATAGGGTGCTGTGACCGAACAGCAGAACAATATCCATTTCGATTTGACATGTTCAACTACAAAAAAGATTTCCAAAGAAATCAGGCCCGTGCTTTGGAATGCCGAATATGCAGTTCTGGATCTGTTCTTTCTTTTTGGTGCCCGCGCGCTTCTCTTTTGCTTTCTAATATAGGTTTTGTATTGATTTGTTTGGGCTACCTGCAAGCCTTCAGAGGTGGGGGGAGTTGGCACAGCATAGCAAAAAATGCCTTTATCGCATTGCCGGCTAAGTCGACTTAGCCGACTTAGCCCAAGTCACCGCTAACTCTACTAATCTGACTTAGCATAAGTCGATTTACTGACATACCGTAACTTTCCTATTTGACATATCCTAAGTCGATTCAAGCGTCCAGCTAAGTCGTGACGACTAACTCCTCGGAGTCACATAGCCTAAGTCAGCCAAGCAGATATTAAGTCAGCTAACCAATTACTAACCCAACAGGGCCTCCAAGTGGGGGGGAGCGAAGCGCGATATCGGGTGCGTGGGCGGTGCGCGCGGGAGGGCGCCAGCTTGGGGGAAGCGCGAGATCGGGTGCGCGGGCGGTGCGCGCGGGAGGGCGCCAGCTTGGGGGAAGCGCGAGATCGGGTGCGCGGGCGGTGCGCGCGGGAGGGCGCCAGCTTGGGGGAAGCGCGATATCGGGTGCGCGCAGCTTGCATGGGGGAACCGGGAGAAGGGAATTCACGCAGTCATGCTTGGCCACTGTGCTGATGTATATTCTAGGTCAACGCATTCGGTGGGAGCCTTGTCCTGCAAGCCGTTTACAGGATGGTCTCATTGATGTTGTCCGAATGCTTATGCTTTACAGCGAAGTTCAAGCACTAAAATCGTTGTATATCAGGCGTACCTGTCAAGCGCCTACTTGTCAATGGGGTCATCACATGGCTTTTGCTCATTGCGGCTGCATGGTAGTCGCGTTGCGCCAACTGCAAGCCGCAACGCCAGGCGCAGTGCACTGCATGCTATGCTTGCCGAGCCGAGATCATAACATGTGCAAGGACAGCGCAAGCAAGACTTGAACCTGTCTCGCGCGGCTCACAGACTCGTCTGTCTGGGTAGCCTCTCCGAAAGCCTGTTTCTTCGTCGATAGGTTCTCACACATCCATTGCTGCATTGAAAAGTTTTCGTTGATAATTCTGTGGTCAGACGTGCGCCGGTGTCTGCGAGTGGAGCCATGGCCAGCCGAGTGGAGGGCGATCGCTTGGCGGATTTGAATTCCGGCTCAGGCCGGCCAGACCCGAGATCCGGCGATAAAACTGAATTATGAAATCATCATAGGGTAACTTGCACTCGTGAAAACTCAAAGTGTGTTTGGTGCTTCTAGATATGGTTACATCGTCCCACTTGTTTGAGACTGCAGGTGCTCAAGCGAACGTGCTCGTCAGAACCATACGTTGCTTCAGCTACGAAGTCCAAGCCAAGAACAAGAAAAGTTTTGTGGTTCTGGCCACCACCGTCATAGACTGTGACGACAACATGACGCACCTGGTCGAACACTTCTTCGGCCCTCGTCAAAAAGAACTTCTGTCCTCGCGCGAGGCATACTGGCTTCCGGAAGGTAAGCCGACCTTGTTTCGATTGAAGGATATGAAAAAGGTCCAGGCACAGCACTTCGGGCGCATGGCGGCTTCTGTTAGCAACATGATCCAGGTTGAAAATCTGAGCACGCCAAAAGCCAGCCTCAAGGCCGTGCCAATCTTGCGAGGAAGTCCAGAGGAGAAGCATGTGAAGACATACTACATGCCACGGCAGCCATTGACAGACCTTCATGCAATTTCCGAAGGCATGTTCGTGACCATTGCCGGGGTGCTTGTGAGTGTCGGTAAAGCAGAGCCGACTTCGCAAGGTTTCGTCTTAGCCATCTCCATTGCCGACCAACACTGTGTTGTCGAGGGCATCAAGATTTGGAAGGCAGATGAGTCTTTGTTCAGCAAGGCGAACATGACACCTGGACAGAGATCGATGGTGGTGCTGCACAACTTTTGGGCCGGTGTGTCGGAGGCACCGGGTCCTTTCCAAAGGTACAGTAATAACTGTTTGTAAAGTCGTTGTCGCTGTTATGGTTGTCGACATGATGTAGTTTCTGCGTCCGGTCAAAGTGCTTCCAGTCAGGATGCCGCGCCGGGGGTTCAGAAGATCGTCAACGTCGCAGATCGAAGCTCTGTCACGGTGCTGTGCCGCACGGACCTTACCAGCACAGATGCAGCGGTTCTTGACAGAGCCGATAACAGCACGCCTGCCGAAACGATATGCCTGGACGACCATGCAGGCAAGCAGAGTCAGACTCGCAAGAAAACCATGGTGCAATGGAGCAGCGAGACGGCTACGCAGTCCTCGGTGATCTCCCTGCAGCATTGCGATGAGGACGGCTTGTACAGGTTGGACGCGGTTGTTCCGGAGGTCGACATGACGCAGGACAGCCTCACAAAGCAGGGCAACATCTTCGCAAAGTTGGTCATCATGGACACGACTGGCAAGATGCACATCCGGGCTGGGGCGGAGGTGTTGGCTGAGCTGTGCGGGTTGCCGCCAGATGCGGCCTCCGACGACGAGTTGCGCCGCATGCTGGCCACGGGTGTCATGCATTTGGCGCGAGCTACACTCTATGTTGAGCGTCGTGCTGCACCAGACAAGGACGACCCCTCCATCACCCGGATCAACTTCGTCGCGCAAGCAGCCAGATCTTCTTTTTTTGCAGCGGACATCCTTACCGGTGTTGCACCGCGCAGTGCCTGCATCCTACCTTGTTCGCTGGACCAACTCCGGGTGGCATTTGGCAAGCTCCAGGTTGACAACGTCACGGCGGAGGGCCCTTTGTTGTTGATGACAGGATCGAAGGCGCAACCGCGCACAACTGTTGATGGACAGGATTTCTGTATCGAGAACATCGGTGCCGCGTGCATGTTGTCACGCAAGTGCTGTACGGTCAAGTCCAAGGTGCCGCTCCAGGTGCAAACATCATTCGTGTTGGAACCAGGCAGACCGGCCCCTGTCTTGGTGGGAGGCATGGAGCACATCAGCACGGACGGCAGTGACGCCAAGATCATCCTCCACGCCCGTATGATTTGGAAGAATCTCGGCATGGAAGAAGATCTGGCTCTCAAAGCCTTCACCCAGGAGAAGGTCAAGACCCAGGAACATTTTGAGCGTGCCGGGCGGAAAAAACGCTCGCTGCCCGACTTGGTCTTGGAGCTCAAGAAACAGGAGGTCAAGAAGTGTCGATCAATCGACGCTGCTTATGGTGGAGCATGATGAGAGGCCAGGAAACGAGCACGTGTCATATAGGGTTGCCCAGGATGCAGTCGCAAAGCTGTGATCCGTGACTGGTGCTGCGCCCAATAAGTGCGGCACTGTGAGGCGAGCAGGTGTGTGTTTGTGTGGGCGCAAGAGGATGCAGCCAAGGAGCTGTGATCCGTCTGTGGTTCGAGTATTCTACTGCTACAATCAACTACATGCCAGAGACGTCGCGCACCTGTCTTCACTCAGCCTCCTGTTTCCAGCCGAGTTGCTGTGCGGTTCTTTGTTCTTTGGCTGGTCGTGCTGAGCGGTCATGCCCATAGGCGTTGATCGCGGTGCGTACAGCTGGTCCGAGGTTAGGGATGTCAAGCAAGAGAGACAGCTCGGGCGCGCAACTGTTCGTGAAAACGTTGGAAACTGCAGGATTCTTGTCTTATGCTGGTAGTGGAGATGCCGAGCGTGACCGACCTGCCCGACAGGTAGACGCTGCCATCCGTGCTGCCAAATCCGCGGGAGGACAAGACTCTCTTGCTGAGGCTCCGGTGCTCCATGCTCGAGGGGTCTACAGGATGCTCTGGAGAGTTAGATCGCTTGACTTACTCCAAATGAGTCCCCAACAAGGTATGTGGACTACGGGAATTGATAAGTCACATCGTGTCAATTTTTGAAAAGTAGTCTTACACGTATTTCCGGCATGCAGACTACTTTTCAACATTCAAGCCAACATTCAAGTCGCAGTCCATATATACTTCGTTCTGAAGCATGGGCGCTGAGGATGGCGACGGAGTTCTAGGAAAGAAAGATACCTCGGGTGCGAAGCTGTTCTTGAACATGTTGGGAGCCCTGCGCAGTTGCTGTGCAAGCACTGGTGATGCCGAGTGTGACCGACCTGCCCGACAGGTCCACGCGCGCTGCCATCCACGCGGCCGAATCGGCGGGAGGACGCGACCCTTCTACTGAGGGTCTGCATGGGATCTTATGGGATCCTACGGGAATTGATAAGTCACATCGTGTCATTTTTTGAAAAGTAGTCTTACACGTATTTCCGGCATGCAGACTACTTTTCAACATTCAAGCCAACATTCAAGTCGCAGTCCATATATACTTCGTTCTGAAGCATGGGCGCTGAGGATGGCGACGGAGTTCTAGGAAAGAAAGATACCTCGGGTGCGAAGCTGTTCTTGAACATGTTGGGAGCCCTGCGCAGTTGCTGTGCAAGCACTGGTGATGCCGAGTGTGACCGACCTGCCCGACAGGTCCACGCGCGCTGCCATCCACGCGGCCGAATCGGCGGGAGGACGCGACCCTTCAACTGAGGGTCTGCATGGGATCTTATGGGATCCTACGGGAATTGATAAGTCACATCGTGTCATTTTTTGAAAAGTAGTCTTACACGTATTTCCGGCATGCAGACTACTTTTCAACATTCAAGCCAACATTCAAGTCGAAGTCCATATATACTTCGTTCTGAAGCATGGGCGCTGAGGATGGCGACGGAGTTCTAGTAAAGAGAGATACCTCGGGTGCTAAGCGTTCAAGAACATGTTGGGAACCCTGCGCAGTTGCTGTGCAAGCACTGGTGATGCCGAGTGTGACCGATCTGCCCGACAGGTCCACGCGCGCTGCGATCCACGCTCCCGAATCGGCGGGAGGACACGACCCTTCTACTGAGGGTCTGCGTGGGATCTTATGGGATCCTACGGGAATCGATAAGTCACGTCGGTCACATCGTGTCAATTTTTGAAAAGTAGTCTTACACGTATTTCCGGCATGCAGACTACTTTTCAACATTCAAGCCAACATTCAAGTCGCAGTCCATATATACTTCGTTCTGAAGCATGGGCGCTGAGGATGGCGACGGAGTTCTAGTAAAGAAAGATACCTCGGGTGCGAAGCTGGGGTGCGAAGCTGTTCTTGAAAATGTTGAGAGCCCTGCGCAGTTGCTGTGCAAGCACTGGTGACGCCGAGTGTGACCGACCTGCCCGACAGGTCCACGCGCGCTGCCATCCACGCTACCGAATCGGCGGGAGGACACGACCCTTCTACTGAGGGTCTGCGTGGGATCTTATGGGATCCTATGGGAATCGATAAGTCACATCGTGTCAATTTTTGAAAAGTAGTCTTACACGTATTTCCGGCATGCAGACTACTTTTCAACATTCAAGCCAACATTCAAGTCGAAGTCCATATATACTTCGTTCTGAAGCATGGGCGCTGAGGATGGCGACGGAGTTCTAGTAAAGAGAGATACCTCGGGTGCTAAGCTGTTCTTGAACATGTTGGGAACCCTGCGCAGTTGCTGTGCAAGTACTGGTGATGCCGAGTGTGACCGACCTGCCCGACAGGTCCACGCGCGCTGCCATCCACGCTGCCGAATCGGCGGGAGGACGCGACCCTTCTACTGAGGGTCTGCGTGGGATCTTATGGGATCCTACGGGAATCGATAAGTCACATCGTGTCAATTTTTGAAAAGTAGTCTTACACGTATTTCCAGCATGCAGACTACTTTTCAACATTCAAGCCAACATTCAAGTCGCAGTCCATATATACTTCGTTCTGAAGCATGGGCGCTGAGGTGGCGACGGAGTTCTCGTAAAGAGAGATACCTCGGGTGCGAAGCTGTTCGTCTTGAACATGTTGGGAACCCTGCGCAGTTGCTGTGCAAGCACTGGTGATGCCGAGTGTGACCGACCTGCCCGACAGGTCCACGCGCGCTGCCATCCACGCTGCCGAATCGGCGGGAGGACGCGACCCTTCTACTGAGGGTCTGCGTGGGATCTTATGGGATCCTATGGGAATCCCTGGAGCCTCCCTTCACCTAGAAAATGGTAAGCGGATCTAAAAACTGTGCGTTTCAGGAAAAACTCAGCGTTTGATTTCTTGCTACAGCAAAGACTCGGATCTAATTGTGTTTGTCCTGCTTGTTGTGTCCTGTTCGAATCTTTCATGAAGAAAGCAATGTTTTCGTAAGCTAGTAAGAACTTGTGATTCAACTCTTTTATTAAACATGTTCAAATCACCTCTCGTTTCTGCTGATGAACCAGGCCGTGGCCCTTCGTTAAGATGTAGTGGATTTAATACTCACATTGGCTGGTCTATGGTGGAGCAGGCTGGGCTGCTGCATGTTAGGGGTCAGGTGCCCACATGTCATGTTACCGAACCTGGTTCTCTCTCTCTTGTGTAGCAGGGTGTTGGGCCCACAATCGATCAGCTAGAAGGAAGCTGATTCAAAATCGAAAAGGCGTTGAGCCTACAGCCTCGGGCCAAAAACGAAAGATCGATGGGGCTCAGGGCCGTAGGACGCAACGATCTTCGGCCTTTTAGCCCCAAAATTTTCCTCGCAATCGGAGCTCGACGATTGTGGACTTTCTCGCTCCCCTCACTCTCTCACTCCGCTCTCTCCGCTCGCTCGACTCGCTTCGCTCGCTCGCTCGCTCCGTTCGCTCCGTGAGCTCGTTCGCTCCGCTCGGGTCCACAATCGTCGAGTTCCGATTCGCTCGTCCTAAAATTTTGGGGCTAAAAGGCCGAAGATCGTTGCGTCCTACGGCCCTGAGCCCCATCGATCTTTCGTTTTTGGCCCGAGGCTGTAGGCTCAACGCCCTTTCGATTTTGAATCAGCTTCCTTCTAGCTGATCGATTGTGGGCCCAACACCCTGCTACACAAGAGAGAGGCCGCAGCTTTTTCGCGGTTTGTGGGCTGTGCGCGTTAGTTGTCAACCCAACCCGCGTCGCGTTAGTTGTCAACCTAGTTGTCAACCTAGTTGTCAACCTAGTTGTCAACCTAGTTGTCAACCTAGTTGTCAACCTAGTTGTCAACCTAGTTGTCAACCTAGTTGTCAACCTAGGTGTCAACCTAGTTGTCAACCTAGTTGTCAACCTAGTTGTCAACCCCATTGTCAACCCAACCCGCGCCGCGGAATTGTCAACCCAATTGTCAACCCGATTGTCAACCCAACCCGCGCCGCGGAATTGTCAACCCAATTGTCAACCCGATTGTCAACCCGATTGTCAACCCAACCCGCGCCGCGGAATTGTCCACCCAATTGTCAACCGATTGTCAACCCGATTGTCAACCCAACCCGCGCGGAATTGTCAACCCGATTGTCAACCCAACCCGCGCCTCGTCGTCGCCGCGTCGTCCTTCAGAACAACACGAACTGAAAAATGCCTCGATCCCAGGGTGCACCCACGTTCAAGCGTCGAAACAGCCGGCTTCGGCCCTCTAGAAAACTCACACCATGTCCAGTTGGGCACAGCAGCAAGAAGCCATCCGCCGAGCGGCCCAGGGCGGCGTCAGAGCGAGGACGAACGCCCAGGGCTCGCAGCGGCTCCAGGTTCTGCTGTTTCGCCCCAACAGCAAGCTCACCAGGGCCGGGCAGTTCTACGGCCTCGTGGGGGGCCGCCCCACTCGAGGCATCGACGAGGAGCAGCCCCTCATCTGCGAGGGACCCACAGACTACGAGAAGTACACGGGCTGGCCCACGTCCCGTCCGCATCACTGGCGGCGCTGCAGCGACCGTATTGCGGTTTCGGGGCAGTGCGAGTCACGGTCAATCTGGATGTCAACCCAGATGTCAACCCAGATGTCAACCCAGGTGTCAACCCGATTGTCAACCCGACCCGCGCCGCGAAATTGTCAACCCAATTGTCAACCCGATTGTCAACCCGATTGTCAACCCAACCCGCGCCGCGGAATTGTCAACTCGATTGTCAACCCAACTCGCGCCGCGTCGTCGTCGCCGTCGTCGTGGTCGTCGTCGTCGCCGTTCGCCGCTCGCCGCTCGTCGCTGTTCGCTGCTCGCCGCTCGTCGCCGTTCGCCGCTCGCCGCTCGTCGCCGTTCGCCGCTCGTCGCCGTTCGCCGCTCGTCGCCGTCGGCATCGTCGCTGTGTCGTCGTCGCGTCGCCGTGTCGTGGGTGCGGCTCGGTGGTGGCAACATCTCGGTGGCAGTTTCGGCCTGCCGAGTGTTCTGCCAAGTGTTCTGCCTCAGTGTTCTGCCGAGTGTTCTGCCCAAATG